AAAAAAAAAAAAAAAAAAAAAAAAAAAAAAAGGGAATAGGATGAGTGCTGATATTTCCGAACGAATGAAATAATAACAGACAATAATGGTTAACCTGAGACCTTTCAGTTCTGGGCCCCGAACGATGCAGTCCGGCCTCCAAAAGTCACGGTGAGGGGCCGTGGCCGATGTATGGCCGTGTTACTGGTCGTTTAGTGCTGTGTGCATGCATGGTCCAGGCTCTGGTGTTCAGGTTCGCTGTACTCCTGACATGAATGCGTCATCTGATCTACTGTCAATCGTGCTTTGTCTCTTGTCACAGAGTCGGAGGACTTATGGTTTCGGTTCCTTGATCAGCTGCATGATGGGCAAATACCATTGAAGCTACCAACAAGAGGCTGTCATGGGACTAAATCGTTGGGCGAAGGGTCATCGATCTGGCGGGGAACATCGGGGGGACCTTGGAGGCACTTTGCAAGGGAGATGTCAAAGTTGTGTAGCCTTAGAAAAATGGCGAAGTCCATTGCGGCGGAGGGGGTGGCGCAGAGCAGCCAGACCGATGACCGAGGGATCGAGTGGACGTTATGCAATGAGTGCTACTGGGAAAGTGTGGTAAGGCGAGACGGCACTTTTGTCACACAGCTTTCCATGACATGCCTGGCATTGAGATGTGACCTAGCATTCAATCATGCAAACCATGCTTGCCTGCTCGTACATGTATAACACTAAAATGCATCATCCATCTCTTAGACTGATAGAGCACACACACATGGTCAAGCGATTCATCATTCATGTCTTAGGCTGAGAGAGCACACACACATGGGCAAGCATCATGCATGAAACAGCATAATGTATGTATGAATCACAGACGAAGACAGTTTTAGGTCTGCTCACATATACATATAAAAAATTAAAAATATATTTTCTTTGCCGACAAACAAGAACAAAATCGGCTGCATAAGGAAAAAGGAAAAAAATGACAGCTGCATACGGAATGAAACTACTACCAGTACCTTATGGCCTCATTTTTGCAATCTCTGATTATGGCCACACCTGGGCTTGCAAACTGTTGTAGGCGTCGGGCCTGCCAGTGACAGCCATACGTGTCACATTCTGACGAGAATGTTTTTGACACGAAAAACAGTGGAAAAAAAAAGGAATCCCTTATACCAAGCATCATGTACCCTACGACGTCTACGTCCATGATATTTTTCACAATTTTCAGATTGTGTTTTTGTTTTGTTAAATTGAAGGAGATGAGAGCGAAAATTTGCCAAATTTGGGAAACTCTTCTTTTTCTTTTGCCGTCTTACCCGGGGATCCCCAGGGGCGAAGCCAGGGTGGGGGTTTGACCCCCGGACCCCCGACGCGGGGAACCTGACCCCCGCCCCGGCCCCGCCCCCGCCCATCCACCCCCGGCAGCCACCCGTGGCAGCGGGAAACCCC